GAACTGCTGTATGAAAAGTGAATTTACTCTGTAAATCTTCACCCAAATCAAAAAAAAAAAAAAGTCAAGGAAAGGTTTATATATGGAAGGAAATTTTCTTTGTTGGTTATCATGGGTGTTGCAGGGGAGGGAACACTGTTAGTTAGGTAGAGATAAGTATTGATTTGGGTGAAGAGAAGGACAGTGTACCAAATGTGAGTGATTAACATAGGGGCACTGAGGAAGAGGAAGACATAAAGAGGTACATGGGAAGTGCAGACCATAAAGACAAACCCTTTTGCACATACAGTACTGCGTTGTCAATGAAGGCAAACATGGGTATGCAGGTGGATAGATGGGTAGACAGGCTGAACTATTAGGTAAGTCTATGCAGTGGGGACTGTGCCCAAGACCTTATATAGGGTTGGCAGACAGTGGTTCTACAAGTGTATTTGTATGTTCTGTAAGGATTCCGAGGTGTATAGTAGAGCTGACAAGGGACAAGGTTGTAGTCACTTCTTGGTCACAGCCAGCTGCCCAGAGGGCACGAGTAGTTGAACCTGTGGGCTTGGGACCATAGTTGCGGGGGACATCAAGCTCAATTGGCATAACATACTACACAAAACATTTTTCCACTCCTACTTTGGTGAGTAGCAACTGGGATCTTAAAAGCTTGCAAGCAGCCATCTAGATGCAATGATGGGTCTCTTCTCGTCCAGAGCAAAGAAGAAAAAAAAACCAAAGATTCATGGAAATAATTAGTCCTGGCGACTAGTAACACCATGCGATCCTCAGCCTATATGACTTTGAGACCAGAAGAACTAGATGGTGCCAACTACCACTGTCAACCACTCAGAGGCGGATCCTGGATAGAGAGGGAGAACAGTGTGGAACAAAACTCAAAATCATTTGGGGGAAAATAAAAGGGGGGGAAGACCAGGTTTGCTGGTCTGATAGAGCCCGGGGGAACCACTGAGACTATGGCCCCTAGCTGCCCTTAGGGAATTGAACCCACACCTGTGCTTCCAGCCGAACAAAAGACAGGCATATGAGGTGAACATTTACACTAGGTAGATACACTCCTTGGTGAGAACAATCATGGGAGAAAGAAGGGCTGTGTACGCACAGTGAGACAGCTCGGGGAGCAGGAGTGATGGAGGGATGGACACACGGAAGAGGTAACTATCAGGAGGAAGTGGGAGGGGAGCTGTTGCATTGTGGTAAATTGTAGTCATTGTCATGAGACAGAGGTGTGTGTGAACTGCTGTATGGAAAGTGAATCTGCTCTGTAAACTTTCACCCTAATCACAATTAAAAAAATAAATAGAAAAGTGGTTGTAGTAGTATTTTGACAGGGAACTTCAGAAATTCAAGCTGGATTCAGAAGAGGATGGAGAACAAAGTATGTCCTTGCTGATGGCAGATGGATCTTGACTGAAAGCAAAAAATACCAGTAAGATGTTTACTTGTGTTTTATTTACTATGCAAAGGCATTTGGGTGGATCATAACAAACTATCGATAACATTGCAAAGAATAGGAATTCTAGAACACTTAATTGTGTTCATGAGGGACCTATACATAGACCAAGAAGCTGTCATTCAAACAGAAGGAGGGGATACTGCATGGTTTAAAATTAGGAAGGGTGTGCATCAGAGTTGTTATCTTTTCATCATACTTACTCAATCTGATGCTGAGAAGATAATCTGAGAAACTGGACTATATGAAGAAGAATGCAGCATCAGGATTGGAGAAAGACTCTTTAACAACCTGTGATATACAGGTGAATGACCCTTGCTTGCTGAAAGTGAAGACAACTTGAAGCACTTACTGATGATCAGACTATACAGTCCTCAATATGGATTACACCTCAACATAAAACAAAAATCCTAACAACTGGACCAATAAGCAACATTATGATATATGGAGAAAAGACTGAAGTTGCAAAAACGGCAAGGAGGCCACATATTCTGACCTCCTCTAATCTCACAAGAGGAAGACAGCAGTAACCCAAGGCCTATTACTGCAAGGCCAAACATGCTGCCTCCCTCCAGCCCTTTCACCAACCGTTCTTCCCAAAGCACCCACCACCTCTCTCCTGGGTTCAGGTAATT